AACCACTCAGACTGCGAGAAAAATTAAATCGGATAATACGGCCGCTCACATTATGTTCGTCCATATGAAGACCAGTTGGTTATCAAACACCACAACACATCTTCATTTATATCGGTGGACGTAAACAACCGTAGATACATCTCTGACTGGAAGGACCATAGTGTCTTGAACAACGACGACACAAATAATATTACCTGACTTCTAGAAACTTTGAACGCAAGTCACTCGAAATCTAATAAACTCACTGAAATTGGCCCAAATTATCAATCAATTCGAAAAATTATAAGTAACTGTAAATCCAAAAGTCAAGACAACGGAGAAAATAGTCAAAATAAGTGTGATAAATGATAGAATGGATATTAGCAAACACTAAACAAGCTTAAGGTTGACGAAATAAGCTGTTAGCCACTTGTAAAGAAATCATCGTAAGCTCTTCTTATCTGAAGTTTGGATGAATTTCAAAGAAGATTATTAAAGTTACAGCTATATTTATACATGGATTAGATTTAATGTACTTGCACATAGATAACATAATTCAACACTATTATTATTTGCCTACTTTCACAACTTTATGGAAGAGAATTGGTGTATATATGCCTCCAAGTATGACAGTTCATTTCAGTTTGTATGGCTGAGAAAAAATGAAGAAAATTCGTACGTTTTTCCCGCTTATTTCACAAACAACTGACAAAAATATAGAGACGATCTTGATCTTTTTAGTTCAGTCGTATATTTATAAATAAAAGGATGAAAAGTACTTCTATTACTACAAATCATAATTGAGAATGTCAAGCATAAAATCTTTTCCCGAGTTTAACTTGGAAATTTATTATTTCCTGGAAAATATAGCAACTAACAAAGTTACGGAGGCCGAATATCATAATTCGCTTCAATATTATCCATATTTCTCGCCTAAAATACACACTGTTATGCTCGTTTGCGTTAGCTCCATTCATCATCGGCTCATTCAATTCACTTTTGTGCATTACTCTATGCTACTTTTTAATATTCAGTAGCCAGTTTTATTCTGATAATTTCTGAACGCGCGGCATGACAGTTGCCATTGTTGTGTAACATTCTTAAGTAATTACATCTACTGGTAAGATCAAGTACACCATTCTACTTTATAGTTTCTTTGTGTATAACAAGAACAATATTTACTTTTTAAGCGTGTACAGAAGATATTTAAAATTTACATTTAATCCTGAAGCAATTAATGATTATAAGTTGTTTAAGACACGAATATTTCCCACAAAAATATCCCTAATTATACAGAATGGTTAAATCGCTTCAGACAACTAGTCAGCTTGGTCAATGGACTCACACTTAACCCGTCAAAATGTAAACTCTAGTCTGAGGCATAAATACCACTTACACACCCTGTTGGAATCCCATATTGCTTGTACTATTGTAAATTCTTTGATAGTGTTACGAGTTATTTACCTTGGTGTAAGTCTTTCTTCCGATCTATTTTGGTCTTCTCATGTTTTATTGTTATCGAAAAAAGTTTTCAATCTCACTTACTACATAAAGGAGATGCATGCTTTTGTGATTACTCAATATTTACGCTTACAATTTGTCGATTCTTGCATATTACCTTTCATTCCCAAGCTTTTAAGAAAAGACTTTGCTGTATCGCGGAGTGCTGAGGGTAGTTAGCAGGGTGTGTAGTGGATCTTTTGGGGTCATTATTAATTTGGTTATGGACAGACATCTAAAGTCTTGCAAACTCCTGGTACTTATTATATTATCAGACAATAACCATCTCCTTTATTCATATCTTCTGGTAGAACGATACGTCAATACATTGGAATCCATGCACGCGAGCATAGGCATCTAGCATATGTACTATGTGACAAACAGGCTGTTAGAGTTGACCTAGTCAATGACATGAATTCTTAAACATGCTTTTAACTAAAAAGGTTGTACAGATCCAAATATTCTTTATAAAATTATTTAATTCCAGGTAGTTTATTTACTTAAGTTATGTATATATGTATGCAGTCATCAGTTTCGTTCACTTTTTTGTACAGGAAACTTGTTGAAATGCCTTGTGCTAATAATTCTTTATTGAGTAGAGCCATTAATAATAATGATATAACTTTTCCTGTATATGATATTTTTATTATTTTGAGACGAGATAGATTAGATAAACTCCGTGAACCGTTGGAAACTTATCAAAGAAGTCTAGTTCACTGACCGCAAACAGACATCTTTCAATTGTTTTGTTGAAAGGAGTCATAACAGTAAGGTACAGACTAGTATTTTCCGGAAATCGACACATACTAAAATATATCTACATTATCTTCATTGGGTAACTACCTCACACCCGGCATGGTTGAACTCCACTGGTCACAGCTTCTCACTAGAACTCCGAGAATTACCTCTCGAAGCTAGTCATTAGTGGTTACTTGATAACTTTCAGTTTGGGGTTGTGAATATAGTTGAATTTTACCAAAGTCATGAGTCGATATATAAATTACATGTCAGCTAGCGTTAATACAAACAGTTATAGTATCTGAGAATTCAGTAGACGGAAATAATCATCATGTAAAGAAGTTGGGATAAATCTTATGATCTCTACACTCAGTACAACTGATTATTCTACAACGTTCATATTAATCTTTCCGTACAGCAAAAATGAATCAGTGGGAATCAGAAATCAAAGTAAACACGATTTTAAATTTTATTTTAGGACTAGTTATACTCTCAAATCCGTTTTAGTGCAAGTAAAATATGGAATGGCTATACAAGAACACAAATCGCTTTAGGAATTAGGCGCAGTGATAATACTGCTATACTCAGGTATTTAATACACAAACAGAATAAAAGTAAGTTCCATACTTAGACCATCCAGATCAGAGGACGGAACTCCAATAAGGATTAGTACATGGTTCCTCAATTCAAATAAGTGAGAGGTTTGGGAACAGAAGTCTCCATGGATGGAAGCCAAGTGACCAAAACAATTCAGCTTAAACTCGTGACCTGGATTTCCGCCAAGTGATTTGTTTTCTGACTCAATTAAATAAGTCGAGAAAGAGTGAGAAATCTAGGTGCAATCGTGAACCTTTCATTGTCCTTTTGAGAAATATCATCAGGATATACTTCAAACAGATTATTCGTTAATAGGACTCAACTTTAATTGGCACGCAGGCTGCAGTCTGTTGGCTTATAAGAGATAAAGAAGTAATATCTCACACTAGTTTAATCCTATTTTGATGAAGTATTCTCATCTAACACGACCATTTGGAATCGGGCCGATCAATTATTAATTAACAAATAGAAAATACTGTCCCTAACTTTCGCCTCTATTTACTACTGTATATACCATCAACACTGTACTCCCGTTTAGTTATTATTATTATTATTATTAATAGCTTTATTCAATATTATATTATTGGTACAATATAGAATTCTCAGCACAAAGTATTTCAACAAGTTTCCGTTTCTTTCTTCTTGGCCGGTCCTCGCGATAAATACTGAGTGGTCGCCAGCTAGATGTTATCAGTCCAGTAAATGAACATGGGAATGATGTACATTCTTTTCGTTGTACATTGCCAGCAACCATATTCTCTCTTTTTGAGCTTTTTGTAACTTTAATAACGAAAGGTTGTACATTTTTCAGAAACGCAGCAGTATAGGTTGTGCGATTAATAGACATAATGATATATTAAAACAAACAAAGATAGATAACTTGTTGAAATATCTAGATGGTAGGAACAGGTAGCCCAGATGCTCAAGCAGGCCGCCGAACACTGTACTCCCGTTTAGTTGTTTAAACTTTTCAACAAATTCTTTTCAGATTCGACAATTATATATCTTAATTAATAAACCGAAAAGTGGCCAGGTTTAGGGCAAAGTCATTTGTCTAGAGTTATGGCATGTGAATTTAGGATTGTTAAACAAAATAAAGTTGTTAATGTTGAAATGATACATGAGTATCTAGTTTTAATTAACAGTATAGCACACAACCTGACTATTTTCAATCAATAAGTTCAAATCCCCTAATGTACTTTTAGTTTGATGACGAGTAGAACGATTAAATTGACCTTAGTTATTTACTCATTGAAACATTCTAACAATAACATATACTACACACATTTGATCACATGACGTAAGTTGAATAAATTTCATGTTACATGACTCATTAATATATGAACATGTTTAGGACAGAACTGTTTATGGCCTTATTTATTATTGAGAATTTTGACTACTTCCTGGCAAAGGTCAAATAACATTACCAGTTAGGTAGACATAAACAACAAGGAAAGTAGCACGAATCTACATTCGTTTAAGTAGCCAAACCAAATCAGCACAAGGAAAAATTAAGAATATCAAAATAGTAGGAACACTAGCAGTAGGAAAGATTAAGTATAGAAAACATGATTCGAGAAGAGACAAATAATTCTGTGAATAAAACAATTTTAATACTCAGGATCTCAGGGAAGACAGGGAATGCATTTGAACTACATCACTCAATATATGTACATACACAGATCCCTTTTAGATACTCTGCTCTTACTAAAATACTTATGATCAATAGTTAATGACTTGGTGTCAAGTGCTGGTTCGGGCGTTCCTAACATTCTTCGTGGTATATCATGTAATATGCATCACAAAAACCTCATTCAAAGATTAGCAACCTCATAAGTCGGCTTATCACCTTAGCCTTGTACCTAATGCCTAATCTCACTACTGTCCGCTCAGTTGTCGCGATTTACGCGGGAAATGCTTTGATGACACATGATCAAATACGGATAATCTACGAGATTCCTGGAAGGAATGTTAATTAGTCACTGTTAATGACTGAAATGTTTATAAAAATATAATCATTTCTTTATGTCCTCCATACATTTGATCCGCAACTGTTGCAAAAATTCTCTGAAAACTGGACGATAATTCTCAAGTCCTAATAATTTATTGCAAAAATATAAACAATATTTTCGGTTTAAACGCAATGTCCATTACATGTGTTTACATGGAGTATCATATTTATATAATCAATAGTATATGCAACGTGTCCTATGCATTGGAATTTTGGCATCAATTTCATCAGCATGAGAACGTCGATAATTCCAAAGAAAATTATCCACCACAATTGAATTGCAACTAATATTTTTACTATTTAAGGACTTGGCGATATTCTGAAAGAAAATAGATACAATATTAACTGTGAAATATTCTTCGCAATAATTCTCACTTTCCAGAGACTCCATGGATTTTCTATTGTATAGTAAGGATACATGTATGAGAAATTCATCAAACAGGTTTAGGGAAAATAAATAAACATGTTAACAAAATAATTTGTCCAACTTTTCCGAAGATTCTGGAATACATTCTACGTTATAACAGATATGTACCATGGCAAAAGAATTAGCAACTGAATCTTTTCTGTTAAATTGAATGTCTAAAATACAGCTCGAGAGAGGAAAACTTTGTGACAGAAAACTATTAAGAAATCACCTCTTTTAAAGACCAAGTGATAACAGGGTATTACTAATTCACCAAATACATTTTTATCCACTTGATTTTTACGCTAGTATTACTACCTGATGGAGTGTAAATAAGTAGAACGAGGTCTAAACTCATTGAAAGGCCAACTCTTTAGCCACTAAGACAGCATTTATGGAATTCGATACCTAATTTCAAAGGCACCTAATTGACCGAATACAGTTTTCTTAGTCAATGTCAAGCGTGAGAACAGGTTTAGTAGAAACAAGATCTTTCTTTGTTACACTTCCTTATCTGGCTATAATGGGAACAAATAAAAGATCATGCAGTAACATGGAACTACAATCATCCCGTTAAAGAGTAGGTATATAAATTGTAGCCATGAATTGGTGCAAATAAAAATACCATACATACCAACTTTGCAAATTATTGGTCTTATATTACAACGAACAACCAGTAAATTGAAAACCGTTTATCAAGTGTACTGAGATATAAAATGATCACAGAAATATTATATAAATACTAACTCAAAAACTATCTTACGGTAGGATAATTGATGACTGATATATATCACTTATGTGTCCATAAATGCAGTGTGATCTAAATTTGACTAGACATTCGACGTATAAATTGAACTAGACTGAGTATAAGTGAATACCGGTAACTAGTAATTCAGTTTAAACATAGAATATCAACCCTATTTCTAAACAGTGCATCATTTTATTTTACAGCTACTTCTCCAAGATTAACAAGTTTAAAAATATGGAAACATCTCCCTAAAACATTGAAATAGCAATTCTAATTTGATAAAATCGGTAGTTACCTTAGGATGATTTCAGAATTTTACCTTAATATTACATACATTATTTATCAAAAAATTGGGAATCGCTTACATGCACAGCTAGTATTGTCGCTGCTCGAATTTCAACTTCTAATTCGCTTCCATTTGCAATTTCTTCACCTAGATGAAGAATACATAAGTAGCTCAAACAACTGTTTACTGCTTTTTTTAAGATATTTCAAAATATAAGTTGAAAATTGTACGGTTAAGAGGAAATTAAGATTTAATCTCTCACAGTTGAAGTTCGACGATATCGATGTGACAAAAACAACACACGGAATGCGTTTGCAAATTTTAGTTTAGTTGATGCCAAAAGATATGGGATTTTAATGAGGTCTGATACTAGACACCAACATTTACTGCTTGATTTCATTTGATAACATGATTTTCCACTGCAATTTCATTGAAGCCATAGAAAATATGTATGAACACACTGACCTTTGTCTAACAAAGAATGAATTCATAAAAGCTTTTACTAATATCTACAAAAGATGTACAATTCCCATTCATCAACGCCTCATAACGTCAAGTTGATCCAGTCGCTATGGGGAGTCTATTAGGTTCAATAGTGGAAGATATATTAATGACCGACTTGGAACAGAAAAGCAAAACGATAATTAACAAGGAAGCTCTGTATGTCAAGTATGTTAATAATACATTCGTTCGCCGCAATCGTTACAAACGTGCTGAATCTTCTTAACCATGTACATTCAAACATGCGATTTACAATGAAGCATGAGCAGGACAATAAGTTTCATTTTCTTAACCTTGATATCCAACGTCGTGAAAATGGTTGAATTCAAAGGCTTACTCATATAAAGGACACATTGAATGGACTTTATTTGAATTTTAATAACTTCTGTTCAATAATTTAAAAAGGAACGTTTTTGTTTGTGACAACAATAAAACCACTGTAATTGCTTGATTACCATTGTCTCAGTAATTTAGTTGGTGAACCGCTTTACAATCGAACACACTGGACTGAAAAATCAAGTATGCAACGTAACGTGTCTAAAAATAAGTACTAAGAATTAAGTCTAAATGCAATAGATTTAAAACAGATAAAGATACAAAAAATTATTATAAACACGATCCACAACTATATAAAAAAATACCGTTGCGTATCCTTTTTGTTAAATCCTCACTGTATTCTATAGCACCAAAATAACATAACACTTGTGGAACTCTAAATGATATTTTGTACGTAGGGAAAGCTGGTACCTGTAATCGGCAAACGCAGTAATCTCATCTATATCGTGGAAATACCCAAACCCTTTGCCCTCAAAACAGTACCACAAATCACCAATCAAGATCTGAGCACGTTTTAAGAATGACACTGAAAAGATAAAGGAACAAAAACAAATACCGTGTTTTCCTTTGTATATACTATAGTCGCGGAAAGAAGGGAAATAATCACACAATAACTTTAGAAGCTTTGCCGCAGAATTTTCACACGAGGACAGAGCATTTTTAAATGACCCATCGAAATTCTCAAGTAAAGTTTTCCCAGCACACCTCAGAGCATTTAATCTCTCATCAAATAATGGTATAGGCTCAGCTGTATGTGAACGAAATATGTGTCTCAATTGCTCCTCTGTCACAGTTTGATATACTTCAGGATTTAACAAGTTTACCCCTTCCTAAAGACACAAACGATTAAAGTTCCTCGACTTACATCGATAGCTCGGTTAACTGCTGCACAGAGGGCCCAATAGCCCGTATAAATTTTGTTGCAATATAACACTTCAAAACTATCCTGACTCTTACTCCAAAATGAAAAATTGAGTAAGGAAGTCACAAATATCCTAGATGGCCCCAGATATTAATATGGTAAAAATTACCATTCAATTGATCGTTCGTCAGCAACACTAGGGTTAGTTCCTGATTGATCCAAGACTTCAAATCAAATGGGCAATACTTCTCGCATACCTTAATCACTTATCATAATACTATTTTAACCTAACCATTCCCACTAAACGTTGAATGTTCTCCATGTTAATGCACACGTGTTCGGCATTTCGTATTACAAACAACGATGAGGAAAGAGGTGCCAAATATTCCATGATACAGATACAGACTGCTAGGCTAAAAAGAGATATTTGAGCGCATCGGTGCATTAATATCATACAAATTAATAAAGGTAGGAGTAAAATAACAACACAATTCGACTAGGAAGCAATGTAAAACACTTTAGTGATCACAAAAGTTTAAGCTTAATTCTTAAGTTGAACAATGACCTTAGCTTAGTACGGACATTTACTCCTCAAGAAGTATTAGTGTTTCCCAAGTGCCACAACAGAAGTCATTGTATGAGATTAATTACAGATGTATGGTACTTACGAAAATGAGGTCCCATAGTCGCCAGTGACAACTATTGGGTCCAGATAGCTTGAGTAATAAAAACGAGTGTGACGAGATAACTCTAAGTAGATGAACGAATCAAGTACAGTTACAACCATCACTAGATAAAGTGAATATGAAGGAACAAACTCCTAGATTACGACAAATGGTTTGAAAACTATGAGAGGCTTAAGTCTTCACATGCAAATGTGAGCGAGACTGTAATTTATAGACGATCCAATCAGACTTAGCATGAGAGGTCTCACATTTTTCCGCGAAATTCATTCGCCCATTTGACTAAATAAGGGTTCGGCATTTTAGCCAATCTAATGACTAAACCTAACTGGCAGTTGTAAATCATAGCCTCTATCCTTCACGCTGATTTATAACCCTCATTTATCCCTAAAATAGTAGGTGGACACTCTCAATGTCACTTTAGCGTCGCAAAAAGATCGTCCAAAAATTAGTCTCGTCTATACTACTACTACTACTACTACTACCAAGCCTTCCAACTTTCAGAAATTTTGATTAACATTTTAAGAACATTTTGGAAATATGCAACTACAACGCTGGAAACTCTTACAGGTTTGGGATTTTTCTCCAAATTTTCTCAGATCTCGGAACTTCTTAAGACAATATATTTTCAGGTTGCGGAATGCAGCTAGAAATATTTAGCATGTTAAAACAGGTCGGTAAACTTTAGGACCTTAGTCCAGACACAAATACAGCGAGTCCAGATGTAAGTATCTATAGATATTGTTGATTCGGCTTACAAAACGACGACAAGGTAGATATCACAAATTTTAGTGTATCATTATTTTAGTCATGAATTACAATTTAAGCCGTGGAAGTTTTATGTTCTATATGACGTGAAAAATACATGACGAGTGTGAGCGGTATGAAGTGATATAATATCGTACCTTTATTACGTGTTAGAGCACCTATTCCAATGATGAAACTGATGCAGTTCACGAACAAAGAGCATCATACAGAATACTGAGTAAACGGAAGACGAAATAAAAAAGCATTTCGGCATGACAGAACCTTGTTAACCACAGAAACTATGTATATGGACGAGGAAAACCGATTTTTACGTCATGCTCATCGACACAAATAAGTACATTAAATCCGCACGTTAACGCGGACACAATTATATCCTTTGTTAGTTTGAGACGAAGACTAACTATTCATAAAGATATTCTGCATTTAAGTTTAAAAATCAACTATGTTTTAACCGTTCAGTTCGCTGTGAGAAGCCTGTTAAAGAATAACAAGCAAGTTAAAATTAGCACTAAAAAGGGAAAAAGAGCCAGTTGAGCTATGTGGAACGATCTGTGTGATTTCTAGACATTAATATACTGCCAAAGTATGACAATACTAAAAACATTTGAAGACCCACATGAATACCCAACTACGAAAACTCCTTGCAATACACGAAACCCGCCGTGACTTTTTACTGATCAAGGTCGTTCAAACGAATGTTACAGATAGTAAAACGAATCTCCTGCTGCTACATTTCCTATCGAAGACATCCTGTCGTTTATTATGTAAACCATATCATTGAATAGTATCTCTATTCTTTCGTGATATTTATCGTTCGACGGTTTGTTATAAAATTTGTCTCCCATGTTCTAAAACGATTAAAGTGAGAATTTTGAAGCCTCATCAGCCTAATAGTATAAGAAAATGAGTTCTGAAGGCGGTTGGAAAGTGCGTCCCCGTTTTGTCTGGTTCTCTCTTTCTGCCAAAGATATCACCTAGTCAATTGCTTAGCAACGTTATTTTTCATGACAGCCTCATAATCGGACAATCACTAACCTAGTCAAACCAGGGGTCAAAAGAGGAAGAATTCGACCATATGTATCTGAAAGGTACCCCGCACGTAGTTTCACTAGTTACACGATAGCTAAAAGCACTCGGTTCATCATTTTCATCACATCGTCATTGCTTACTCCGTGCTACGCAACCCTCACGAAAACCACCAATCTTCGATCAAGCACCTCACGACATATCACTCTCAGTTTAAAAAGGACAGGAGTCTAGGTGTCCTGTGTTAGCCCTAGCTATCGTGATCTTTTAGTTTATCTGACTTTCTTTTGAAAGCGTCCACTGATAGAGTTTCAATTACGTGTTGAGGCAATGAATTCGATGGGAAAGTTGACAGTCAGGTGACATGTGATTTGTTCTGCACATGTGAGCAACTTTATATTGTTCTTGTAAATCTGTAGTGGCATTGGACAATAGCCACACAATCCACAAAGCTGTGAACACGAGACTACTCAGAAAATAGATATTCACTATTTAACGCGGAGAAATACTTAACAATGGAGAAGGCGCGGACAATGAATTGAATGGACTGGAGTTGATCGACTGGCATGGCTCGGCCATGCAGGCGTGGTCTCTGCTGAATGTTACCTTATATCTTCAATTCATATTAAATATATTGTTCCTTTTCTAGCCTAACCTTGTTCTACATCATGTATTGGTAATTGATACGATACAGTGAGTTGGTGTAGCCGATGGTGTGACTTCCACGTAAGATCTTATAGATTAGGCAGTTATATCATGACAAATCTACAATTTTAGGATTAGGTCTATTATTCGAGCAGTACTAATATCCTAGTAGACCATAGTTCTACAAATCCTCTGTTTTGACTGACAATAAACGTGAAGGGATATCAAATACAAACTCATCACTAAGTAATTTAAAAACTGTGATTTAGTTACCTCTGGTTCTTCTACATGTTCTAGATCACCAAGGTGGATGATCTATGTCGAATGATTGGAAGCCACCACCGCATGGGCCAGTTCACGGCATACGATTAACTGATGCGCGTTGTTCGCCCTTGACATTGACAGGAATAGACGATCTGTTCGATATTCAGTGACCCAAATGCCGAATGATTTGTCTAGGGCTCACTGACATTTCACTGGCTGTACAAATATATGCAACTGAGACACACGTCGGCCAGGATTAAACTTCGTTTTCTTATTATGGTAAACATGAATATGAAAATTGATTAAAAAAGATTGACTGTATGGATTTTAAATTTTCATAGTTGCATAGGGAATTCTTTAGTCATCTGAGATTAAAATATTCATCAGTATATCCTTTTACATCTCATGTATGTAGCGAATAGTATCTCACACATTAGAGGATTATTATCTAGGATTTATATTTCGTTCTTATTTTTAGATATTAAATTTTAACCAAATAGGTTACATTAACGCGAAAGACTTATATCACCACCAAAGTTTATGAAGAATTATGTGGTATAATTGAGCAATACCTTTCGAACAATCTGATCACACATAACAAACTTGTTAAGATACTCTATATGAAAAATATAAGGTCGACTAGAAATGGTTTAAACATCGACATGGCTAAAGGTTCTACGTAATGATCATGAAGTTTTGAAACCATCGACGTCTATCGCACAGCAGTTTGCACTAGCTTTGAAGTCCTGGGTAACGATGGCTTCTTAGTGAATGTGTGTCTGAACAACGAGTACCACGCTGTTATTCACCGTATATGTGTCTGTACCTTGGCGACCAACATGCATCGTAATGCACTTGGGAGCATTTATCGGCAACTGCCTTGTTTTGAACAATTCGGATGATTTCACCTTATCATTTTGAGGCTCTAAACTATTACACTGACCTTTTATCACTCTTCTTGCTTTGACATCGTGAGAATATTAAAAATCGGTGATGATAGTAGCCTAGAAAGGTCATTTACACACAGGAGGAACAACACTGACCTTAAGACTGTACCATGAGGCATTCCGCTAGACACAGTTTCCTAGATAGACAACTTTGTGTTTACCCATTCTCTTTGATGACGCTTTTTATCCACATAAATAAATTGCCTCCAATCCCGATTTTACTTGACTCATATGACAGCTGATTCTGAGTAACTTCGTCAAAAGCCTTGCCGAAGTGAACATTGGCTAGACCCACGGGAAAACTTTGATATTTAACAGAGCAGCAACTTTCACGGGGCTACTATTAAGTTGGTGATACATAAAAACATGTTCTAAATCCGTACTGCCTCTCAAGAATATCCGGTTTCCATAGAGATACTTAAATAATTCCTTCCAAATGATCTTTTCTAAAACATTTGCAACCACGCTAGTTAGACCTACGTGAAGCTTTTGCCGTAATTCTGGGTCTCACTGAACAGAGGATTAGCAGTTTATTTTTGCAGTTAGTGTATCACTACGCTTGTTTGTTGCTTTACAAATTAATTAAAACCAACTTTGCGAAAATCAGAGAACGGAGCAGTAAACGAGAAAATCACATTACCTCCTACGAGTAAATTCTACCAAATACGTCTAGTAAAGAAGCGGATGACGTAGAAGCCGTATATATGAGTGCATACATGTTTGCTAACACGTTGTTATAGGATATGGTGTTTGTCTGCACAGATTTATTGAACGGCAACCTGCAAGAATAATTTTCCTTGCTTGTGATACACACCGCTTGATAAAGCAATAACATAGTAGATTACCTAGAAATTTTGTACTAACTTCACACGAAATAGGTCCAAAGTACTACTTACTCAGTATACTTGAACAGCTCTAGGAAATGAAGAGTACGGCTAGTTCAACATCGAAAACCAGGTACAGCTGAATTGTAAAAATATTAGTTACAATATATGGCGGACTACAAAATCAGTTACTTGTCAGACAATAACGATGTTTCTGCAAAGCAAAACTCATGGTTCTATTCTACGCGACAGATCAGTTTAATCCACAGAAAGGTGAATGATCAGATCTGCGAGACAAACAGTAAACAAAGTGTTAATTAAACATAAATAATATATTTGTATTATCCCAATGTGTAGAAAAATTAGATTTTCTGACGTTTCGTGTTTTGGTGTGGGCCACTTCTTCAGAGAATAAATAATCAAAATCTAATTTTTCTACTTCGTGGGATATTATAAATGTATTATTTATACATAACAATCTACCCAACGCTCAATTTATTCAAATTATTAAATCGAACCTTGGTAATGTTAACTACAAAGTGTTAATTGTCGTAAACACCAACTTGTTGTTATATTAATGAGTGTTTCTAACAAACGAGAAGTGTACTTCAATCCAGAAATCTAAGAATTCAGATCAGTCAATCCAAGTAAGTGCAATCGAAGATTGACAAATCAGTACGATGGGCAACATCCTAAGAGATCAGGTGAAACAAAATTGCCACTAAAGATGCCACAGGTATTCAGAGTTTGACAACGCCTTTACAATTAACACCTTTATGATCGAAGGATACCAACTCAGTCAGATCACAATTCGGAAATGAAGGAAGTCCTAAGATGTAGTTGGAAAGCCATCGATTTGTAGAGGAGCGTTTGGTCTAAGCTGGCTAGTAGTTGCAAAGAATGCGTAGCACGAGAAACCCACTCGTAGTTTGGTACTGATGAGTGACCGAGCGCTTTCAGATAGTTGTGTCCAGTAATACTAATGAGGTAAGCATCAAATGTCATAGACGTACAGAACTATATCTTTTAGTGATTTATTTGCCGCCGCACTACCAACCAGAGAACACATAAGTGGGAATAATACGATGAAAGAAACATAACTGCAAACAAATGTCAATATTAAGCTTGTCGTAGGTCAAATATTAAACATGATAGATGAGACAGGATACTTAGTAACGACAACCAAGAAATTTTCCAAATAATCCAACTAGTTGGTACTGTCAGTATTCAGATAGTAATATATATATTGCACAAAGAAAACTCTCATAAATGTGCTGAAATCTCTACGTAAAAATCCATTTTAATCCGTTGAGATTTATTGGAGAAATACAGATTTAATAGTTGAATTCATGAGTCAATTAAAGCTATACCACCATGTAAAACCTAGAAGCACTGGATGGCTATTTCATCCTAGTACGGGACTCCTCAGCAGTGCGCACCAACAATCGTGCCCCGCGAGATCCGAACCCAGGATCTATCGGTCTCGCGTGAGGACTCATAATCACTAGACCACTGAGCCGGCATCCAAGTGTGTTAATGTCTAACTTCAACCAGTCCACGAAGTTAAAAGACATATCTGATGAAGATAAAATATTAGTTACATCGAAACAATCAATAACATAATGTTGCTTGGTTTAGCAAAAATTTTTGTGTTCTGCTAGGCTGTCCCATCAGAACGCGTTAATATCTTATGTAAGTTAAAAACCGTTTAAGTGTTTATGTTGTCGGTTATTCTCAGGTATTCTATGATGATCCCTTTCATGCTTTCTGTCACCGTAATCGAAGTACCAACTGTGGAAGTAACACGTTTTAAATATCCTGATAGTAGTCAAGACAAATCAGAAGATCAGAATAGTAAATTCACGAAGCAAAAATACGCATATCTTATAACTTTGGACTATTAGCATGTAAATGCTGGTTGTCTTGGGTTAAGAAGATGAAAATGAAGAAAGCCATCTTATGGATGGTATTGACTTACTATGTACTAGTTTTATAGCTGTGAGTCGTGCTTTCAGCCCATCTCCCTTTACATGAATATCAGCTACTTATCAAATACCGTAGGATACATTCTATCATGCTGGGATTCGTAGACAACTATAAATAAGGACTGAAATATTATTCACTCAAAAAAGCTTCAAAATGTTTATAATCAAGTTATTTAGTTAATGGACACATTCACGTAAACTGAATCTATCAGCCAATAAGAAAAGTAATAAGCAAATACAAGATCACTGTTCATGTCGTAAGAGAAATGGTAATCGAAAAATATTATAAACAATGACAATACAACTAGCGAGGCAAAATAACTTAAATTTAATTTTGAATAAATAGTGTTGATCACCATAGAAAAAAATACAACACATCAATTACTTTAAAAGTTTGGACTGATATTTTTTGACAGTAAACTAAAGTTCCTTCAATCAACCCTTCAGCTCAAAAAGCGCTACACTTGCAAAAATACGTTTATGTGTTCTTTATTGTACTATCTGTCTGGCTTTCTTAAAACACCCTGTTTTCCTTATTAGACACTTGATGGATTACTTCATTAACTAAGTTGTGGCCATATGAATATCGATTACGGATGATTACGGATTAATTTTATGCTTGAACATGGTTTCCATTAAACTTGATCACTATTATCAGTGTAAACAAATGTGTAAAAAATATTGAGTTAAGACATGAACTGTTTCTATATTTGCCATCAAATCAAATATTCTGTTCACAATTAGCAGAAATAAAATTAAGTAAAAAGCATAAATTTCTATGAAACTTGTATTTAATTCAGTGGGAAAAAAGATTTTAGTGACAAAGAAAAACAAAAACTGTTTAAGATGGTTAGTTGAAGGTTAAAATCTACATTTCCATCAGTCGCTTTGATAGTGAAAATAAAATGTCAAAATAATCATGTTTTTTTCTATTGGTTTGTTTGACTTGGTACCTATCTTTCTAATCTTTAGTAAGTTTTAATGTTGATAACTAAAAAATAATAAAATATGATTGTTTTTGCTTAAAATTAGATTGTACTCTGAATAATAAAAAAAGCTATGATAAATAGATAAGAAAGAATATAGAGAAATAAGAAAGGCAAGTCTTTAAACATTACTTAAATGCAATTCTCTTCGAAATGTAATTAACAATAGAAAGAAGATTAAATTGCACAGTAAATACAAGAAAGTAATGAAACACTGAAAATATTGGATCTTCGCATTAAAAAAAACAGAACAAAACAATATCAAGTTAAGCAAACATGATGATAATCATTGTGATAGAATAAGTTAAGCGAATGAAAAGATTGTCATCTTGTTGTTCAGTTTAGTTGTAAATTATAGAATCTATATTTCTTATCTTTATGTAATGGTAGAATAGATCAATTCAACAGAATTAAATGTTATCTAATAAATATGGAATATTTTGATTAATTTCATATTTCACATAAAGCTTCTACTTATTGAATGGAATGAATGATTTTATTGAAAGAACACAGGCAACAAATTTATTAAACAACATCATATTATGTTATTTAGAAAAATAAAAATGGAAAGAAAAATGAATAAAGAAGAACAGACTGTATATAAATTGTAAGAAAACAAACCTAATTAGAAAATAATTAAGTAGTATATTCTTTAAACGATGTAAAAATGAATACATTAAACTATTGTTTTAAATTTGAAATAAACCCTTTATCACGAAATCGTTATTACTGTTCTAATGAACACTAGAATTTAAAAAATATAGCTAATATATATCACTTGTATGTTGCACGTTTTTATCATATACATAATTGACAAATGTTTTTATTTTTTGATCATGTAGAATCACTTGTTGTAACTGGATGAATTTGTGGAGTAATTGTATATATTTTCCACTCAGGTAAAGTATTGATGGGCTGTGATGATGTAATGTTCAAATATGGCAGACCTAATATTGGTGTTGGTTGACAACTTGATGAAGGAGATAAAGTTCCCATTGAAACATCATGCAATTGTGGCATTGTGGGATTAGATTCAATTGAAGTTGTTTGCCATGGAATCGGTGTATAAACAGATGGTTGAAAAATAACGGAGCTCAGATACGAACTTTGTATTGACGTATCAATTACTGATGTACTTAACAGTTGTTCATGAGAATATGTGTCTATTTGTTCTTGTGGACACGATATCTGTGTTGTTTTGTTAGAAAACGAGCTTTCACCTGAGTGAATCTCCTTAATTAGGCCACAACTGTGAACTTTTTATGTCTTGTACGTTCGTCGGACCGAGCGAATTTACGTCCACAAGATTCACATGTATATGGGCGTTCACCAGTATGAGAACGCGTATGTGTTCTTAGATGGTCAGAACGACCAAATGAACGTGGACAGTACTTACACATAAAAGGTTTAGTCCCAGTATGTATTCTATGATGCCGTTTGAGTTCATCTGGGCGGGCAAATCGTTTTCCACACTGTAATTCAGGACAACAATATCGTCGTTTTTCCGAAGATTCCCCAACAGAACTTTTTCTAGTTGAACTGGAAGGTACAGTGGCGGTGGAGGGGTAAATGTTTTGTACATCAATGTTGATGGTCCTGGTTCAGTAGAAAGAGATGGAGCTGCGCTAAAATCTACCATGTAACTAGTAAACGTTTCAGTACTTAATGGTCTAGATGATTGGCTAATAGAAAAAACATCAAAATAATCTTGGAGTATGGTGTATTATAATCTTGTTCAGACGGGGCTGATTTTGGATGTGAAATATGGTATATATCTGGCCTTTCAAATATCGGCCCTTCAGGAACTGAATAGTGTCTTAGAAGGGGTTTTTGTGTCGGTGAAATGGTGAACTGTGTATGACTCTGTTCTTGCGAATGTGATTCTTTTTGTGTTTTTATGGGATAAATCTCTGGTTCTATAAAAGGTACAGGCAACTTTATGCCTTTGCTCTCCATAGGTGAGATGGTTTTTGAAGTGAAAGTAGTCGGATCAGTACTCGTGGGTGATTCTTGTTTCAAGAATTCATACGGACATATTGATGGATGTTCAAGTAGTCCGCTTTGATAAGGGAACTTTTCTCTTTCGATATCAAATGATCTCCTTGAATGTTTCCGCGCATAGTTTACAGATGCTGTGTTCACCGAGGTGTACGATGGTGTTAATCTAGATTCCTCTTCAATCTGACTAGTAGTGAAGTGATAAATACTAGGTTCACCATAGCTGGAAGATGATGGTGTGATACAACCTTGAGTCTTTTCATGTTCACCTATTTTAGAAATATATGGAGTTGATTTCTGAGAAGACCCTGCAAATGTTACGGTTGATACCTCCATAGTATACGATGGTACTTGCCGTTGACTTTGAGGAAAATATAATATATTCTTAAATTCCTGACCTAGAAAAAATTGTCACAAAAAAACTTAGTCAATTAATAGACTGATAAATAAGAATATTATTCACATATCAACAAAAAAGATGCGTGACTTCATCCTGATGAACATTACACCACTTTTAATTAAGATGACCTAAAAAATCATTTTCAGGGTTTTAAATTCTAACTCGGTAAACACAAAATACTTACTTCATTAAATGAATATGTCAATGAAGTTAAATTATTCTGTTTTGTTGTTATCATGAACAATACTAATGGATTAAACTGTAGTGTTAGATGCCAAACTAGAGTGAGTCATAGACAACCCAGCTATATGTGCTCATTGCTGTAGTAAATAGAGCATTTTTACTGATTTATGAAGAAAGAGAAATTCATTATAACAAAGCTTTTTTAAAACTTATCTATAATTGTACTATATGTGTAATGTAATACAGATCTGTTATGAAATTAATTTATAAAACGTTGGAGACCAGTGTTTGTCAGCATTATGGCATTGTTGGCCAGAATAACATACTTTTTAATGGTTGAGTGAAAATATTTTCATTATTATTTGTTAAAAAAGACATCAGTATTGTGAAATAGTTAAGTAACAAAGCGGTTTTTTCCTGAACAACTACCACTGTAAGGGGATAGTAAAAATTTGGTTATCGTTAGAATCACATTTACACAACTTCACCATTTTTAAAGAAGGCGTCATCATACTCAAAATGTTTAAGTCGAATATGTGTTCTGGTACACTTCACCGATAGATAGATAGATAGATAGATAGATAGATAGATAGTAATTTAGAATTTGAGAGGAATAATTTGACAGATGAATATGTATTATGTTCAATTCTAGAACAACTCCTTTCTCCAAAAGTAAACTTAAACAAGAAAGTAAGACGTTTAAAAATATCATTGAATTTCTATATTTTATTTTATTACTAGTCTATAGCGGAACATAAATGTGTTATTCTGTTATGACGTTATTCTAACCCCATACCATTTAATGTTTTCACTGCATCAATCGATAGAACTATTGCATCATAGTGTAGATTTCACTGTTTAAACAGTTACTTACTTACTTACTTACGCCTGTTACCCACAATGCAGCATAGGCCTCTGACCAGCATTCTACAACACACTATGTACTGGGCCTTCCTTTCTAGTTATATACAATTCTTGTTCATTTTTCTCGTTTCTGTCTCCATTTCTCGGCGTAATGTGTTCTTTGGTCTTCCTCTTTTCCTTTGACCTTCAGGATTCCATGTGAGGGCTTGTCTTGTGACGCAGTTGGGTGCTTTCCTCAATGTGTGTCCTATCCACTTCCAGCGCTTCTTCCTGATTTCTTCCTCCGCTGGGATCTGGTTTGTTCTCTCCCACAGTACGTTGTTGCTAATAGTGTCCGGCCAATGGATCTGAAGTATTTTGCGTAGACAACTGTTAATAAACACCTGTATTTTCTGGATGATGGCTTTCGTAGTTCTCCAGGTTTCTGCCCCATACAGTAGAACTGTCTTGACATTTGTATTGAAAATCCTGACCTTGGTGTTGGTTGACAGTTGCTTTGAGTTCCAGATGTTCCTCAGTTGTAAATATGCTGCTCTTGCTTTGCCGATCCGCGCCTTCACATCTGCATCAGATCCACCCTGTTCATCAATGATGCTGCCCAAATATGTAAAGGTTTTTACATCTTCCAAATCTTCTCCGTCAATTGTGATTGGATTGGTGCATTCTGTGTTGTATCGGAGAATCCTGCTTTTCCCTTTGTGTATATTGAGACCTACTGCTGCTGAGGCTGCTGCCACACTTTTCGTCTTCTCCTGCATCTGTTGTTGCGTTTGGGATAGAAGGGCCAGATCATCTGCGAAGTCTAGATCGTCCAACTGCATCTTAGATGTCCATTGTATCCCGCGCTTCCCTTCAGACGTTGACGTCTTCATGATCCAGTCGATCACCAGGAGAAAGAGAAAGGGTGAGAGTAAGCAACCTTGCCTAACACCGGTCTTCACTTCGAACGACTTTGTCAACTGTCCTCCATGCACGATTTTGCAGTGTAATCCATCATATGAATTCTGTATGATATTGACTATCTTCTGAGGCACGCCGTAGTGTCGAAGAAGTTTCCATAGTGTTGTTCTGTCCACGCTATCAAATGCCTTTTCGTAGTCAATGAAGTTGATGTAGAGTGATGAATTCCATTCAATTGATTGTTCCACAATGATCCGTAGAGTTGCGATTTGGTCTGTACACGATCTATCCTTACGGAATCCTGCCTGTTGGTCACGAAGTTGGGCGTCTACGCAGTCCTTCATCCTGTTTAACAATACCCTGTTGAAGACTTTTCCCGGTATTGAGAGAAGAGTGATGCCCCTGTAGTTATCACACTTGCTGAGATCGCCTTTCTTCGGTATTTTGATCAGAAGTCCTTCTTTCCAGTCTGTTGGTACTTGTTCCTCATCCCAAATCTTATTGAAGAGAATGTGGAGTATCCTTGCAGTTGCCGCTACGTCTGCTTTTAGTGCCTCTGCTGGATGTTGTCCGGTCCTGCTGCTTTGCCACTCTTGATTTGTCTGATGGCCATGCTGATTTCTTCAATTGTTGGTGGGCCAACATTGATTGGGAGGTCCGTGGGTGCTGCTTCGATGTTGGGTGGGTTCAGTGGAGCTGGTCGATTCAAGAGTTCTTTGAAGTGTTCTACCCACCTGTTTTGTTGCTCTTCAATGTTGGTGATTACCTCGCCTTCCTTGCTTTTCACTGGTCGTTCTGGTTTGCGGCGATTTCCAGAGAGTTTCTTTGTCGTGTCATACAATTGTCTCATGTTTCCTTCTCTTGCAGCCTTTTCCGCCGTCGTTGCTAAATCTTCCACATATTTACGTTTGTCGGTTCTGATGCTCCTCTTCACTTGTTTGTTTACTTCTGTGTATTCAGCTTGTGCCTTGGCTTTTTCTGCTCTTGTTCGACTGGTATTGATTGCTGCCTTCTTGTTCCTTCTTTCTTGAATCTTATCCAGTGTATCAACAGTGATCCATTCCTTGTGATGGTGCTTCTTGTGACCCAGGACCTCATGACATGTTGAAGTGATTGCCTCTTTGATCCCCTTCCAGTTGCTCTCCACAGTAGTTCCTTCTCCATTGAGTAGATCATGAAAGGCCTGGAACTTGTTGCTGAGGACTATCTTGAATTTGTTGAGTTTGTTAGTATCCTGAAGAAAGGCCGTATTGAACTTTTGTGATATTGTCCGCCCCGTTGTCCAGTGCTTCTTGAGTTTCAATTTCATCTTGGCGACCAGCAAGTGATGATCTGATGCTATATCAGCTCCTCTCTTGGTTCTCACGTCCTCTATAGTCCTCCTGAACGTTTTGTTGATGCAAATATGGTCGATTTGGTTTTGTGTAGAGTGATCCGGTGAAGTCCATGTGGTTTTGTGTATGCGTTTATGTGGGAATATGGTGCCGCCTATGACCAGCTTATTGAAGGCACATAGATTTGCAAATCTCTCACCATTTTCGTTTCTTTCTCCCAGTCCGTGTCGTCCCATGATGTCTTCATATCCAGTGTTGTCCGTTCCAACCTTGGCGTTGAAATCTCCCATCAGAATGGTCAGGTCCTTTGTTGGGCACTTCTCGACGATTGACTGCAGCCTATTGTAGAATTGATCTTTAGCGTCTTCATTGTAGTCGTTGGTAGGCGCATAGCATTGGATGATGTTCATTGAAATACCCTCTTTCTTTGTTTTGAACGAGGCTTTGATGATCCTTGGTCCATGAGATTCCCATCCTATAAGCGCATTTTGCGCTTGTTTGGACAGCATCAATGCAACTCCTTGTGTATGTGGTGCATTTTCTTCTTCATGGCCGGAGTATAACAGGAGCTCTCCTGTAGTTAGTCGTTGTTGTCCAACTTGTGTCCAATGTGTTTCACTGATCCCAAGTACCTCTAGGTTGTATCTTCTCATTTCTGCAGCAATTTGGAAGGCTCTCCGGTGTCCCACATTGTACGAACATTCCATGTACCTAAATAAATGGTCGCTCTGGTTGTCAGAAGGGGCATCGGCCTCGTAACTTCCGAAGGAATTCGGCTTTCATCATGAGGCGTCATAATTCTTCTAAATGAAGACCTTCTGACTCCCAGGGCAGAGTTTAAAAGGTTTGAATAATTTTTTCTGGTTAGCGTTTTTTTAGCGAGTTAGTTTTCTACGGGATGGGGACGCTAACCCCATGCCCAACCCTCCTCCTTTATCCGGGCTTGGGACCGGCAGTAGCCTCCGGAGGGACTCCAGGCGGAGTTTGTTTAAACAGTAGATTATTTTATCTTCTTCTGGTTAGCGCTTTATAGCGAGGTAGTTTTCTACGGGATGGAGTCAGCGACCCATCCACAACCCTCCTCTTTTACCCGGGCTTTGGACCGGCAGTAGACCTAGAGGGGCTCCAGGTGGAACCCCAGCAGCAGGTCTCAAAATACACAAACGGAAAAGCAAGATCCTCCCATACAACACATTATTCAACAATCGAATCACACTTGACCAAGAAGATTTGCAAAATGTAAAACCATTACATATCAGGGAAGCATGATTGATGAACACGGTGGATCTGATGCAGATGTGAAGGCGCCGATCGGTAAAGCAAGAACACCACATCTACAAATCAAGAATATCTGCAACTCCAAGCAACTATCAACCAACACAAAAATCAGAATTTTCAATACAAATGTCAAGACAGTTCTACTGTATGGGGCAGAAACCTGGAGAATTACGAAAGCCATCATCCAGAAAATACAGGTGTTTATTAACAATTGTCTACGCAAAATACTTCAGATCCATTGGCCGGACACTATTAACAACAACGTACTGTGGGAGCGAGCAAACCAGATCGCAGCAGAGGAGGAAGAAATCAGGAAGAAGCGCTGGAAGTGGATAGGACACACATTGAGGAAAGCACCCAACTGCGTCACAAGACAAGCCCTCACATGGAATCCTGAAGGTCAAAGGAAAAGAGGAAGACCGAAGAACACATTACGCCG